AACAACATATTATTAAAATTCTCTTAATTTTGTAGAGCAACTTTCTGTTACTGATTATTTCTCTCATCCACTAATAAAAAAATTCAATCATAGGAACAAAAAATAAAATACTAACGCAACGAAAAAAATTTCCGCGAAAATTCGTTTGCAACCAACAAAATTTCTTTCTGCAAAATTATTGCAAACGGAAATAAAATAAAGTTAATTATTAAATAAAATATCCGCGCAAAATTGCAGCGTACAAAATTTCTTTAGTAAAAAGAAATTATTACCAATAATTAATAAAATTAATATAATTAATTAATTAATTAATTAATAAAATTAATAAAATCGTTTTTTTTATGAAATGAATAAAATTTTGAAAATCTTACCTTGAATTAATTCTCCGAATTTGGTATTTTCATCCTGAAGCGGCAATGAGTTGACGTTTTCTAGTATTTGGATAAGAAAAATTGGTTGCATTCTAAGATAATATTGAATACTTGAGAAAGTTATAAGAATTATTCTAAAAACACCCTAAAGTCGATCGTGGTTTTTTGAAAAAAGATACGAACACTCCCGAAGCTAATAGTTTGTTAAATTAAAAATTTGAATAACTTTTTAATTGGATTTTTGATAAACATGATCACATTAAGGAAAATGCGTTCTTGATTGTATGAATTCATTTTCTCGTTGACAGAACAATTCCCAAACTGAAACAGTTGAAAATATATTTTCTATTGTATATCTAAATTACAATTATCTCCTTTTATTACCTGCTGCTCGAAACGAGTCCCTTGTTTCCAATCGAACTTCCAATAGATTAACTCTACAATCAAGCAGACGCCATGTAGAGTTCTCTTCCTGCAATTCCTGCAAAATTTACAATTTCTAATTTGATTTTTTTATAAAGTTTATAGTAATGTTAGATTTACAGTTAAATCTGTATATTATTTAAGTTACAAATTTAGATAAATTTAATTTATTTTAACTTAAATAAATTTAACTTATTTTAACTTAAATAATTTTAACTTACTTAAACTAAGATACATTGAACTTATTTAAACTTAAATAAATTCAAATTATTTAAAACAAAATCATTTTATTTTTGTCGAAAATTTTTACAAACCGAAATTATAGGGACATATAGACAGAATTGTCAGTTAAAAGTATGGAAAATTCAAATTTTCAAAGATTTTAATTTGAAATCTTTCAAAATCCAATTATTTTTAAAAATTCATGCTATGATGCTTTTAATATTCAATTTTTATTTAAAATTTTAGCTGAAATTCATTTTTAAATCAATTTTTATTAGAAAATTCTACGAGAATTCAATTATTAAAATACAAAAATAAATAATTTATTGAATAAATGAATGTTTCTCGAAATTGAATTCTCATAAAGAATCTTATCAACATAATTGAATTCTTTCAACGTATTTTAATAAAATTTTCAAAAATAATTACATTTTTCAAGGAATTCAATTAAAGTTATATTAAAAATAATTGAAATTCTATGAGTTGTATTATTTATAAAAAAAAATTTAATCTGTAAAAAATATATTTGTTATTTATGAAAATAATTGAATTATTGTGAAGAAATTTATGAAAAAAATTTGTAAATAGTTGAGTTCATGTGGAATTTTTATTATTTATAAAAATAATTTAATATTTGCTTAGAATTTTATTAACATTTTTTTTTTTTGAAATAATTGAATTCTTTTGGAAAATTTTATTAAAATAGTAGATATTGAAAATCATTAAATTGAGTAAATTTTTTGAAAATAATTGAATTTCGGAGAAGAATTTTATTACTTTTTAAAATAATTAAATTTCTGCAATTATTTGTAACTTTTCAAAAATTTAATTTTTTCTAGTACTTTAAAAAAAAGTCCCTGACTTTTCCCTGATCTGTGACAGCCCTGCATTTCCTGACGAAGTTTACTTAAAATGTCAGCTTACGACTTTTCTTTAGCGACTCAGATTGTTTTAAATCATCGGTGGTTTAGTGTTAGGATGCTCGCATTTAGCAGAATCAGAAGTTAAAATTATCATCGTTGGTTTAGTGTGAGAACATTTCCGTTTGTTTGAACATTTTGTTAGTACAATTCTAGCTTAACTAAGATTTTGATTTCCGGATTTATTTCTTTGCGAAGTTTACTCAGAACGTCAGCATATGACTCTACTTTGGTGACTCTAATCACCACTGTTGACCTAAGTTCATTTTACTCCTTTGGATGTTACTTTACCTTCTCTGGTTGTACCTCCGCTCCATTTTTCGCCTCTTGCTCTTCTTTATCTGTTTCATCTTTATCGCCTAGACTACTAAGTAGACTCTCTTTGCAAGACTGCAAGATTTTTAGTTCCCATCTGTGGACTCTTTTATACCAACTTTAGAACTGATTTTCCCTTTGCAGATTTTAAAGTCCTGACCTAAAAAGTAATGACAAAGGTTGACCTATAATTTTTGTTTTGCATTAATGATTATATTCACAGTTTTTCTGAGGATATCAAATTGAGACAAAAAGGAATCAAAAGCGTTGCGAAGCAACGTTTTGATTCGCTTTTTGTTTCAATTTTATATCGTTAGAAAAACTGTGTTAACGACAATTTCCTGTATTGACAATCATTTACTGCATTAACGCCAATTTACTAAATAGACAGTAAATGATGACATTTACTGCATAGACAATAAATGATGACATTTACTACATAGACAGTAAATGATAACATTTACTGCATAGACAGTAAATGATGCCATTTAAAATATTACAAATACCATTTCCAACTCCAAAGAAACCTCCAAAAAACCAACTCTCCTAGAAAATTCCCAATCTAACCGAATCTAACATGCAACTGGTGGGTTTAACCAAGGAGCATAAGCAAATCATCCAGCCAATGTCTCCATTAAGAATGAATCTACCTGTAACGTGCCTCGTGGTAAAAATTGAAGAAGGGACCTTGAAACATACAAAGGTGTCTCTAGTCAATTGGAACATGTTCCCGCGCTTTCATTGTAGGGAAATCGACCACAAGCCTATATGATAAACTGGGTCTGGGTGGACTATCAAAAGGCCTCAGCATCTGTCAATTAGTTAAACTTGTACGCTGAAAGTAACCCAGTTATGCGAAATGGATATTGAATAAATTCAATGCGCAGACGCCTACCATCCTCTATACGTCGTCAGTGCCTTCACATTATCTACCATCCCCCATCCTACCTCCTACATTCGCCACTCTCTCTCTCTCTCTCTCTTCAACAATTTTCTCTCCACCTCCCTTTCAAATACGGTCCACCCAGCCTCCCTACCGGCTACCGGTTGTCTACGGGGGTTGCAGTCTCTTCTTCCCATGCAACAGTAATGTTGCAATTGCCTCAAGTGCCGTGAATATTAAAATTATTCCCCAAAAGAAAAAATCCTTCATTTCTAATTGGATCTATTTTTCCATCGACTATAAATTAAAACTTATTACCGATTCAAAATCCAGATCTTTAGAATCCTAAAATCGCATTTAACATAATTTTCAAGAATTTAAAATAATAGATAATAAATGAGATAACAAAAAATCAGTAAAAGGAAAGAATCAGCCATATAACGTATTGATGGAGAAGAGCGTCGTTGATTTAATAATGTTTCTCGATATTTGTCAACTTTATTTTCAAACCAAGAAAAAATCACGCGATCTTTGTACACTTTGGGCAATAATTACGTTTATAAAGACGGAGGATTCAACAAGTTTTTTGCAGTGGTGTCAAAAGTATTCAATACTTCATCTTCGAGATTGTAAGGAACGAAGGAATCATAAATCACATGACAAAGTTCACGGCGAAGAAAAGAAAATACTTCGAATACTTCAGGAATTATTCTATTGCGGTTGTCTACCACAGAGTAATTTTGGAATTTAAAAATATTGACCAATAAAAATACGAATTTTCAATCTTAAATATTTCGAAAAATGAAATTCATCACATCGTTACTGCTTTTTCTTCACTCCTAAGCAAAGTGTCTTTGGGAGAAAAAACGTCTTATTCTTCTCAAAGAAGAATCTTCGACAATATGGGATATTTTCATCACAAGGCTAAAGAAATGGTCAATTAATTTTATACAAACTAATTTAAAAATTAATGTTCATTTTTATACAAAATTTAATTTAATACCAAATCACAATATTTTAATTATATCATGAACTAAAAGATTTTCAAAAAAATTTAAAGAGTCGAAATTCTAAAATTTAGAATTAAAAAGAATTCTCTCCCACTGTCATTATTTTTCATTTTTTTTCCCCCTTCTGTTGGTCGGGAATCTGGGACGATATTGCGGATAAAGTTCGATTGTTTAAACTGGCGCGCGTACCTGTGGATTCCATATACACACGAGATATTGTGAATTCCCAATAGGGTCACGGTTAGTTCCACTTGCCTACTGTCGGGTTATTTTATCCAACCTCAGGGTTAAACTATATTAAATTATTTTCACCATCTATTTTAATTCTTCAAATCTCAATTAGATTACCCAGTTATTATAATGCTGGAAAATCCCAAATCCAATTATACACATAGAGCGTTCGCCTTATTAGAATATTTCAATCGCGATTTCTTCTTTAAATTGAAATTTTATTTTCAGAAAAATTAGAATATCTCCTGAGGTGTAAAATTTAAATCTCAAAATTTATTTAAGAGCACCTAAAATTACAATTATATATAAGTAAATCAATTCCACATATAATTTTCGAATATGCGGAATTCAAGGTAGAAGGCAGATTTCCCAAAAGTCCCTAAGCACAATAAATAAAACAATATTTTGACCATTTAACACCTTTTCGTAAACCATCGAATGAGGAATCCAAGATATCTCTTAAACAGATTTTCCAAAAGTTTTAGTTTTTCCTAAGCACAAAAATAAATGACAATAATAAATTTTCCCCAATTTTTAAAAATTTTATTTAGTTTTTTTATTTATCTTTTTGACGTGAAATGTCCTTTTAATTTGAAATTAATTATTCGAAACTTTCTTTCAGTAGTGTGACCACGCGTGTGGATGTGGACACAAGGTCACAAAGAAAGGAATGTCTGAGAGCGACAGTGATCAAGTAGCTCGGTCTCTGGCCCTAGAGCAAGCTTATGTTCACGAGGTCTATGAACAATGTGCCGAAAAGACTGTCCAAGGGAAACAATGGCCAAGAATTTATCAATTCCTCGAGGAATTGGAACCGGGTGCTCTCGTTTGCGACATAGGTAAAGAATGAACAATTTTTGCTTTCTATTTATTATTTTTAACTTCAATGAAAAAAAAGTTTATTTTTAAAAAAAATGATAATTTTTTTTCCTCCTATCTTTTTTTTTCTCCAATTCAAGGTTGTGGGAATGGAAAATATCTCAACGTCAACCACAGTGTTTATAAGGTCGGTGTGGACCGATGCAACAGACTGACTGATATTGCACGAGAGAAAGAAAATGAGGTTGGTAAAGAATATTCCTTGAGATAAAAATTCAATTGAAATTTTCGAAATTATTTTTCACATTATTTGGAATTTATCTGAATAAATGGGGAAAATAAATGGAATTTTTATCTTGTAAGAAGTATTCGATTTTTCCTTTTTTAAATAATTATTTATTTTTAGGTTTTAATATGTGACAATTTATCGTTACCATTTCGAGACGAGAGCTTCGATGCGGTTCTGTCCATTGCAGTTGTTCATCATTTCGCGACAACCGAGAGACGAGTTCGTGCTTTAAAGGAACTCGCTCGCGTCTTGCGAATTGGAGGACGACTTATTATTTCTGTTTGGGCCATGGAGCAGAAGCACAGGAAGGTAATTTAGTGATACTTTTAAAATCATCGGTATTTTAATGGTAGAATGCTCGCTTTCTGCTTTTGTATAAAAATGTTAATGTAATGGGTATTAGCGCTTGTGAGAGAATTAAGTGAGAACTCACCATCGATTCAAAATCTGATGGCCAACCTCAATATTTATAAAGTTTTCTGAATGTAATTTGGAATTAAAGTTTAAAATCATCGGTGGCTTAGTGTTAGAATGCTCGCATTTAGTAGAAGCAGAATTTAAAATCATCATCGGGGTATCAATAGTAGAATGCTCCCATTAAGGTCTAAAAATGAACACTTTTGATGCAATATTCATCTATTAAGAAACTGATACTCACCAAAACTTTGTTTCCACGTATTTCCCTCCGTTCCAGTTCGAGTCCCAAGACGTGCTGGTTCCATGGCCCAAGGCATATTGTCTCAACTCGAGGTCCAGTAGTGGAAGATCCTATGGCTCTTCCTGTGACGAGAGGCAGCGAGAGTATCCAGAAAAACATATCCTAAAAAGGTAGAACATTTCGTTATGTAAATAAAGTATAGTAAATTATCATCAGTTTCTATTACTGTTAGTTACTAACACTACCTCGATCACTACTTTTATTATCATTTCTACCATTTTCACTACTACCATTATCACGACAACAAAAAATCTCTTCAAATTACAGAGGTAGCCAGCGGAAATGCAAGAACAAAAGTTACTGGACTGATCCAATATTCAGTCCATCGCCATCCACAAGCAGTCTCTCGAGTCCCAATGAAACGTGCTACAGTTTTTTTCGTCGAGCACTACAAAAATTAGCTGGTGGTAGACGGGGATCGCGACCATGGTTCCTGGAAAATTGGCAAACCAACGGAAAAAGTCGACGTCGGTACGAGCAAGAGGACAGTGCCGACATGGATGATATGCCAATTGAATTACGAAGACTCGAAGACACAACACTAACATTGAGCAAACAATCGGAAAGTTTGAGTATCAAATCAAAGAGTCTTGGTGATATTTTAGAAATACAACGACTCGATTTGGTTCGATCGCGATCAAGTATCCCCGGTCTTTGTTCAACAGTAAACTCCGATCTTCAATTGGATGACGATTCATTATCATCATCATCATTAAGCACATCAAAACCAAAGTTAGTCAAGCAAAAAACACACTTTAATGAAGATGAGGATTGTCTGGATTTTCCTGAAAACACTGCCATTGAACAAATCATCAAGGATTTTCCAGACATTCAGGTACGCAATTCAGATCTTCTAAAAAATGTACACCAACATCCAACTGGATCAAAATTAAACACAAATCACTGATTTTACGATTCTTTTGGAGAAAGAAAAAATTTAGTAGCCATTCCATTTCCTTCGAACAATCTCAATTTCTCCCGAGACTATTGTTTCGTGCGTTCCGCTCGTAAAAGTTACAACAGAGAGTCGTTAAATTCAACTCTCTCTCTGTTCTGACAATAATTTCGTCTTGGGATAAATCAATACCCTACCAAACTCTCAATTCCTTTCTGTTTAAAAAAAAAATTTCGAGATTTTTTAAAATTGTATTTTTATTCTTCAAACAGGATTCACAAAATACAAAGAGAGGAAACGTGCAGAAACAGAGTTCAATGAATGAGGAATTAATGTCAATAGAACGACTTGAAGAAAAGGAACAATTACGACGAAATATAACTAAGCAATCATCCCTAAATGAGGACATCATCTACAAACGAAAGGCCTTCGAAGCCTTTAGAGACTCCTTCTATTCCGGTAATGCTTCGAAGAGATTTCAATTGTTGAAAAGTGGCCTTACAAATAAGATCAAACAATCGACGACGAATATTGAAAAGGTTTCGGGAATGTCAATTAGAAATGGATTCGTAAAAATACTCCAGGTTTGTTTAATCATCTACTCTTTAGTGGGAATTTCTTTTCAGTTTATTTTAAAGAAAAAAATAATCCTTTTCTTTGAAATAAATTTAGAAAATTCCGAGTTCTTTAATTAACTTTAGAAGCACTTTGAACATTAATTTTATTCTAATTTAACAGAGTTGGAAGTCAACCGAGAGTGATGTTCCAGTATCAACGAATGGCGAGTACATAACATCGACAGTTCAGGCGGAGAATTTACAGAACGTAATGGGATTAAAACATGAACATGATTTAGTAGAGAGACGATTGTCACGTGAGGATGGTTCGGATTCATCAAAGGACAGTAGTTTACAGAGTGATACGAGTGTCGATTCAGAGGACAGTTTTGCTTCAGTTATTTATGTGCCAAAACCAGATGTTGCGCCGTTAATTGATGTGATAACGGCACCACCTGGCTATCAGTTGAGTACAGCTTCCGCGCCACCCTCTCCCCGAGTCAAGTATCCGCCAGATTTATCAGGTCCTAGATTAAAAATGATATCCATATCGCCACTATTGAAACAATTCCCCGCAACAAGTAAATCTCTTCCGCCACCAAGTCCACCGGGTTTATCACCCAAGACACTTAATTCGACCACAATGAAACCCTTCTTCAATCACAAAACAGGAAGTAACCAACCCATCATCAACTTTCTAGACAAGTTCGATTTTACTCTTAAAAAAGATTCCACCGTATCTGGTGAAATAAATTCCGATACATCCAAAGAATTGAGAGCCAATTCTTTGGAGCAAGAGAAAACCAGTGAAAACAGTTGCGAAGAATCCTCATGGCAAGAACCTTCGAAAATTGAAGTCAAGAATTCAAATCCATCGGATGAGAAGAACAATGAGGAGGAGAGTCGAAAGGATCGACTGAAGCAAATCAAGGAGTTGCTCTATCAAAAACCGGGATTTGCCACACGGATGAAACATTCGTTTCCCCTAGTTCGAAGAGCTTCATCAGCGGTTCCCGGTAGGCTCGAAACGGCAACAAAAATCCTCCCTCGACTACTCTCCTTAGAGTTGTTCAATCCCGAAACTGACGACCTTGACAGCGACTCCAGTGGAGTATCGTCTCCGGAGTCAACCGGATCGGTCATCAGTGTCATTTCCGACGAACGATATCTAGCAAAAAAGGACAACAAATCCGAAACTAAAACCAAAGATCAAAACGATAAGAAAGACACTCCCTCCTCAAAGTTACTAGAAGCGGCAGCGAACGTCGCAACTTCTCTCGAAAGTGTAGCTGGAACAGTAATTCAACAAACAGACACCATCAAAGACGACAAAAATACCTCCACCTCAGAAACAAAACACCTTCTCGCGGCCTCACCGGAGGAAGTCACCTGGAACGAGGAGTGCCGTCAGCATTTACTCGAATTCACCGAGAAACTAAGCGAAAATTTAATTCACGACATCGACCAATATTGTCAGAAGACCAAACTAGAAATCAGTGGCGAGCTTGACCAATTACCAAAAAAATCCGATTACAGTTCGATCACAAATTCTTCCCTACAAAAGAAATCCTCCCAAGACTCTTGTAAATACGACGATTATCTAGAATTCGACAATAAACCCGACAGTCTCGATGACGACGAACTCATTGGTAGAAGCGCCTCCGAGGAGACAATGGATTTTGTAATGGTATCAAAGAATGATGATTTCATCAACGAATCGGAAAATGAGAGGAAAACCCACGATACAAAATTAAAGGAAAAATATCTACGATTCGGTAATTCCATCGAATCAAGTGATATTGGTGATTCAATTGAAAATACCATCAGCGAAAGTAGTCAAGGTAGTACAAGAAGATTAGGAACCGGAAGTACAGCATCCCTAGGTTCGAGTAATTTAGATTTTAGTCGATGCATTAGTGAGAGGCGAAAATTCCTCAGCCAAAATAGATCAGCATCAGAGGAGATACCATCAAAATTCATTTCAGGAAGAAATCATTTCGAACGTACCCGAATGACCAATGGAGTTAGTAATGGAACTCTGAGTGGTTCTTCCTCACAGGAATCGTTGCCCTCCGATCAGGGAGGCGGTGCCATCACCTATCATCAATATTATCATGTATTCCGAGAAGGCGAATTGGATCAGTTAATAAACAAGTACGTCGAGAATTTACACATCATTTCCTCGTACTACGATCACGCCAGTTGGTGCATAGTTGCCGAGAAGGTGCAAGTCTGGACTATATGACTACTTGAGTTCTGCATCACATTTTATACCAATCTCTCTTTTTGTTTAGAAAAAGTGATTCATTCTAAATCTCCCCTTCGTCTCTTAGAATATAACTACCTTTATGTTCACCCGACATCAACCAAAATTAGATTCTAGATCTTAGATACAAACAAAATTAGTAAAATTCGTCTAAGTATACCACAACTCGATAGATGGCACTTGTCCATTAAGTTTGTGTCTACAATAAAGACTTTTTGGATAAACCGACGCGGTTTTCAAACCAATCAAGGCCAAAGCACAACTGCTTCGCAAACATCTGCGAACGCAAAGCATGAGGTAGAAAATGACAGAGATGTATTTGTGTCCTTTTCTAACTCATACTTTGCATTTGCGAACGACGTTCACGCACGAAACAATTGTGCATTGACCTTTAAACCAAATTCAACAATTTTTTAAAAGATTTTAGTTTAGAAACGTATCCTAAACAATCTTTAACTCATTTTAATTTACCAAATGAATGATAAATAATGTAAATTAGTCAAATTTTCATCACTTAACCTAAAAATCTTTATTGTGGACACGGACATACAGTCTCCATAATTTTAAAAACCGTGTAATTTCTCTCAAAGAAGCGAAAAATTGTATGAAAGAAAAAATATGAGATTATGGAAAAGATAATTTTACCCCCCCCCCCCTTCCCCTTCACTGTGCAATATTTAGACGTAGTAGACAAAAACTCGAAACGGTGTTTCATACGAATTAGTAAAACATAGTCGTTTTCTGTTTTTTAAAGAATAAAAGAGAGAGACCGAGACGTTCATTAGAAATCGTCCATCCTTCTTGAATATTATACATGAAAAACTATTTCGACGATATGTAAATAATTGTCACGCATTCTCACACAAAAACACTCGCTTGTAAATATGTATAAATGAAAAAAAAACTACTTTGATTTAAGCGCACACAAAAAGGTAGACGATCTATTTCGAAAATACAAATAGAATTTAATTTCGAAAGAAAAAAAAATCCGTTTTAAATGCTTTGATTCTCTTATTTGTTTATAACCTAAAATTTATGGCCATTTTAAGAACACGAAGATAAGTTGCAAAGTGCGCTACCCAACCTTGCGTGCGGTTAAGGCCAACGCACAATAGATTCGCGAATGTCGTGAATGAGATACATGAGAAAGAAAAGAATATACGAATATATCTTTGTCCTCATTTCGCGAATCTATTGAGCGTTGGTCTTCAAAGGCCTTTCTCCAATAGACCTTTTCATGTCAAATAATTTTTTCTCAATAATAATAATAACTTCCGGTCGGTCATATTCAAATTTCCCATGTTAGTATATGGTGAATTTTTGAATATGACCGATTGTCATGGCGGACTGAGATTGCGCTTTCTTCATTTCCTTTTCGAGATGAAAAGGTCTATAGGTTCCCAAAACTCTGCGAATGACTGCGTTGCGTTGATTTTAGCATATGTTGCCATAGCAACCGACGCAACGCAGAGTTTTGGAAACCTATTGGAGAAAGGCCTTAAAATTTACATTCACCAGGGTTGAACACAGTTAAAAAAAAATTGCGCAATTGTCACTTGGCAACTTGGAATTCTCTAGAAATTAAAGGTTTGTCTACAATGCTAACACCGATTTCGCACTCTAAACGGACCTTAAAATTCAGAGACCCACCGAAAAATTTCCCCATCATGGCCAATTACAGTATATAGTTAATCCAGAATTTTAGTCACTTTAATTTTCTCCATCACCGACTGATTTTTCCAACTGGATTCATTTAAAAAAACATTACAAATCTCCTGAATTCTCCAAATATTTATGTAACCTTTCTATAAAATACAATCTTCGACTATCTAGTTATTTGTATTAAAAAATTTTTAAAAATCGTTCTACAGGGTGTGCGAATTCTCAACAAAAAAAAAAATTTAATCCCAAACAGAATTAATACAATAAAAATCATTTTTACCCACAAAAAATGTTTTTTATCTTAAAAAATCTGCTTGCAGAGATTAAAAACAAAAAAAAGGTGGTCCAAAAGAAATCTCGTCCGTAAATTTGGACCACTTTGTTATTTATGCGAAATACATAAAAAAATCTTGTAAATAGAAACACTTGTCGTTAAAAGAGAAGAAAAAAACACAATTTAGAGAGTTATTTAGAATCATTTTTGCCTAGCGATTTAATCAAGCATTTCCATAATAAATAACAGAAGAGATTTTGAAGGCTAACAGGTACTAAAAAAAAGTTTACGAAAAAAATAGTTAATATCCCAGCATATCAGCGAATCGAAGAGTGAAGAAAACTTTTTTTTTCCTCAGAAAGTTATATATAAAAGTCAGGGTACAAGACTCTCGAAAATGAATATCATTACAAGAAACAAAAAAGACAGCTGGTATTGAAAGAAAATATAAATGTTCTATTAAAAAGAAAAATGGTGCAAATTGTTTACAATTTCAGTGCAAATTTCCCTATAGAATTCTTTTTATATTAAACTACTACTTCAAAAAAAAAAAAAAAATATATATATATATGAAATTTCCAAATATTGTAAACAATTTGTGATTTATATATAGAAAACAAAAATATATTAATATATTGCCAGTGACACCATTATAAGATTGTGATATTCCTACATCCGTCTAATCCAAAATGTATAATCACCTGACTGGAATTTTATCTGGTTGTTACGTTACATATACATACATATATATATATGTAGTCACAACTTGAGGCATATCTTCATATATAAATATAGTAAATGATGTAAATTTCATTCTTAAAAAAAATCATTTTCACAACAACAAAAGAAAAAAAATATATAAATATATTACAATTTTTTCAAGTCTATAGAAAAGAAAACGGCTGTTGACTATATTCTGAAAGCTTTCAAATTATATATATATATATTATTCATTTTTCAGAGAAAATTATATGCACATAAATATATAAATATTATAAATTATTATAAATCTGAAAGCTCTCAATGACTCGAATTCAATATAGATGTGATTGACTCTGAAGAAAAAGGTCTTAAAAGCAAAGGAATTTTATATTATGTTTGGGTCAACATAACCTAAAACTCTATTGTGTACTTAAAAATTATAAATATAACCTAAAAATTTTTGTTTCTAAGGTCAATTTCTACAAAGCGTGTCATATTATATATTTCAAGAGTCGACAGTCTATATATGCCGAGTTAAAAATTTAGTCATCGAAAATATTTAGATTAGACGAATAGGGACCGAGAGGCTTCTGTTTATAGCTTGCGATAATAGAAGTTGAGAGGATAACTGTAATAATGAATCTGCGATTCGATATTGATATTTATATCAAAAAACAAAGAATCTCCGTTAAATTGAAAATTGGTTTTCAAACAAACCTAAAAACTTGACAAAATTCAATGATTATACTTTTGGAATATAAGAAAATTGTTACTTTATAGTCTATGACGCCAAGTACAGGTAACTGCATATATGCTGTCCTTTAGGTTTGCCCACCTTTTTTGAAAACCGCGTCATTTCTATCATAATCTTTAATTCGTGACCAAAAAGATAAATAAATTTGCCACAAACTAATAACATATTACATAATGGTAGAAATTCCACGGTTTTCAAAAGAGTATTCGCAATTCAACAGGACAGCATATAAGCAGTTACCTGTATATATGACAGAGAAAAGGACAAAAGATATTTCTATCCTTCTCTCTTACATGTAATTGCGATTAGATGTTTCCTTCAACTTAAGCCTAATCGCATTAAATAAACTATTATTTGTTATAAACAGAAACAAAATTCTTATTTTGATTATTTAAAAAAAACAGAGGAAAAAACTAATTTTGAATATAACGCGAGGACGAATGAAATCCACTAAAATACCCCCCCCCCCAAATAAAAACTATGTACTCTGTGCATGATGATAAGATATAAAATAATTCAGTATTTGACAAAGCTCAATGTTTGTGTATGATTCTTTCATACCAATAACTATTGCATCGCTAGCGATTATATAAATTCTTTACAGACTTGCCTGAGCTGCGACTCGATGTTGCTTCGCTGTAAGCTATTTAGAATGAATAGCCATATATTATCTGTGGCAAACAGAAAAAAAAGCTGTGAAAGTGCACTTTTCAGATAGAAAAAGCAAAAAGAAAGCTTGGAAAGTTTATTTTCCCCGATTCAATCAATTCAAAAATGAAAAATATACATGAAATTGGAATATTAAAGAAAAAACAAGACAGAAACTTATTCCGTACTAAATAATTTTCGTAAAATTATTAATATTCATTTATAATTTTTATTATAAAATTTAAAATTATTATAAGGGTGCAGTCCCATGCTGAGCAGAAAACACAATGCAAAGCAGAATTTCGTGAGTGCAAGGGAGATAGTCAGATATCACTATCCTTTCCACTCTCACGACATTCTGCTTTGCATTGTGTTTTCTACTCAACATGGGACTGTACCCTGAAAAAGGGAGTAAAATATCGTTTGGAAGGTTTGGAATATAGAGTTTAATAGTCTTTACAACAGGGTTAGGTGCTAACGTTTCAAATGTTTCTGATTGGTTCGTAATATTACTGCGATAAATTACCAACCAATCGGAAAGAAGAACCCATTGTAAAAAGACCTTTAAGCCCGATATCCGTTTTTTACTCACTGTCTTTTAGGGTGCAGTCCCATAGCACCATTTTGCGTTGCGTTTTGTAACTAGGCCATAAGTGTGAGAGAGATGAAGATATAGGTTCGCTATATTTGCACTCATGGCCTAGTTACAAAACGCAACGCAAAACGCTACCATGGGACTCCAGCCTTAGAACTCACACTCCTATTTCTTAATATATTTATTAAAAATATTTGAATTGAAAATTTAATTCTTTTAAAATTCTTTTAAATTTAAAATCCCAAAGATTTTTTTTAATTCTACTCAATATAAAACGGAATAAAATTTTCCCTTTTCCATAGCTGCTTTAAGCTTGAAGCACACGATCGACAGTCTTTCTAAACTGTTTGAAAAAAAAAATTATTGACAATATATATGCATTCACTGTGGTCGGAAGAAAAGGAGGACGTCACGCGCGATTTTGTAAAAAAAATGAATAAAAAAAACTTTAGAAACACAATTATAGTGATTATAAAAATGCTTAGCCATAGTTAAATTGAGAGGGACAGAAAATGAAAAAAACACCTTCTACAGTAGAATTTACTTTATAGGCGTGAAATTCGAATTTCTAATCTAGTAAAAAAAATCTAGTTGGATAAAAAAAAATTCCCCTCTATACCCTAAATTATTTTACAACTTCTAGATTCGAGGGTTTTTTTTAACTTTCTGCATGTTTACAAACTTTATTTTTTTTTGTTTTTATTACATTTATGAATACATTATTAAAGAAAAAATCTCATATGAATTCCGTTCTCCTTTTAGAACAAGTCACCTATATCGATGCGAATCAAGCAAGCATTGATTACGCTACGTAATTAGCGACAAGTGCACTAATTAGTTAAACGCAAAAGAAAAAACAAACTATTCGTAGCAACGCGATCAGACTTGTATTTTATACTTGTATTTCACAGTGAGATTATTTGTCAACTTTGCATTAAGTATAACACACGATTGTATATTTAATTTAATAGAAGAACTGTTTCATATATTTTACTTGTTTTCAATTTTTTCCCATCTCTATGGTGTTTTCTTTTATTTTTTTTAGGTATTGAAAAAAGCCTACAACCAAAAACACTCAAACATAAGGGTAAGACTCTATCAAAAATATCACGATTTGCAAGGGGTCTTCGGATTAATTCGACATTTGGCAAAATTATAGTACCTACTGGATAAGAGTAATAAATGTACCAAAAATTTTTTGAAAATTTTCAAAATTGTAAAAGTTACGCCATATTGAATTTTTACATACTCATCACATGAGAAAGTATTAGTTTTAAATATTAATATTTCCGAAGCCATTCATCGGATTTTAATAAAATTTAAATATGTTATACCTGAAATCATACTTTTTAAGACTGTTGTGTAATAAAAAATTTTTTTTTTATTTTTGACCCAAAAAAAAATCCAAAATTTTTTTTTAACCGTTTTTACTCTAAGGGGACCGATTTTCGAGTAATTTTTTATATATAATAAAATATTCCTTATAATTTTACCTTTATTTGAAGACCTAGAAAACTATGGAGACTTTAATAGTTTTCGAGATATCGCAATTTTCGTGAACGCGTGCAGCGTTCTAGCGCTGGCGCAGTGCCGCACGGCGCTACGCCTATTGGACATCGTGCCTTGTTATAACTCACTGTACTGGGCATTGCTGCGCGCAATACTAAAAAAAATTTTTTTTTATTACACAACAGTCTTAAAAGGTCTTTCAGGTATAACATTTAAATTTTATTAAAATCCGATGAATAGCTTCGGAAATATTAATATTTAAAAAAATAAGTGTAAAAAAATTCAATATGGCAAAACTTTTACAATTTTGAAAATTTTCAAAAAATTTTTGGTACATTTCCCAGTAATAAGGGGTGAATTAAAGTGGATTGGCACTTTTATGCTCTTAAATTCCAAACCAATTCCGTTTTTGTCCGCAATCTTAATGAATTCCTTTTCTATTGTTAAATTAATAATTTTTATCCTATCCAATTCAATTCTCTGTAACCACGTGACCAGAATTTGAAACCCCTTTAATGCCCTTTAAAGAATTCAATGTTAATTAAAAGGCATTAACTCCACAACAAATGATTCCCTTAAACGGTATTAAAATTAAAGTGAATTCAGACTCTGGTCACGTGGTTCCAAGAAAATTGAATTGGATAGAAATTATCAACGATTGCGGACAAAAACAATAAAATTTAAGGTTAGGAGTTCCTTTTAAATCGAGAATTTAAATAATTCGTATAAAAATAAATAAAATAATGAATAAAAATTGACATGTTATAAATTATATTATTTACTTTTGCAAAAGAGAAAATAGTAAAAGCAAGTTCAGATTTAAATTGTTTTTTCGTTTAAATAAATTATTTAATAAAAAAAGAAAAAAAGAAAAGAAATATAATTGTATAAGTTATTTTAACGAAATACTAAAGTTTGACGATTGAGATTAAACTGCAACAAAAATAACTATTTTGCCCGTCAGAATTAAATTAAATAAGAGTAAAAATTCCTGAAATGACCCCCCCTATTTTCGCAAAATTTAAAATAAGTATTTGTATTTGAATTTACTAGTATCTAGTAATTTTTTCACGGAGTATTTCAAAAATATTTAAATTATTTATATTTTTTATTGTTAATTAAAGATTTTTGAACCCTTTTAATAAAATAATTGTAACTAATTGAGTTTTAGCATAAATTGAACAAAAATTTATGGTTGTATCAGTGAGTAAATGTACTTTCAAATAATAAAATAAAAATTTGAAAAGATTATTTTTTTTTTATTTTTTAATAATTTTTTTATAAACAAATGCAGTTTTAAGTGCTTTCTACACAAGATTAAAAAAAAATTTTTTTGCTAAATGTTCTTTAGAATGTAGGTAAGCAAGAACTGAAAAGAAATCTTAGTGCAAATGAAAAGCTTTTTCATAACACTGTCCGACACTAATTTTGCCCCTTGGATAATTTTGGTCACTTTCGTTAGATTTTGTCACGCTGATTACGAATCTGCAAAGAAAAATGCTCTAGCACGTCTAGTTTTTGAAAAAATTAGTGTTAAAAAGTCAAAAAAGCGTGTTTTTAACCATATTTGAATTTAAATAAAATAAAAACAAGAGGTGCTAAAATCTTGTTCTTGGGTTTAAATCAAAGCTTGAACCTTAAATAATAATTCCACGAAGGGATAAATTGAAGGCATTACAATAAGACAGTCAAAAGTTATTTTTTTAAATGTATTTAATTTTGTAATTTTTCATGTTTGACAAGCACCGTGTATAATCCTAACATTGTGAAACAAGTGACAAACAAATGAATGTAACAACTTTCAAAGTTGATAAATTTTGATATTTTTTTCAGGTTACTTACCTATTTAAATTTATGTAATTACTAGCAACATATACCTCACTCGCTAACGCTCGTTCGGTTGTATTTAAACTTATTAGTTTTTACTTATTTTTTTTTTTTTTATTTGAACTAAGTAAATATTTACTGGACATAAATATTTTAATTTATGGTATCTATTAAATAGTTATTTGAACCAAATACAAATTACTTAAGTCAATTAAATAGAATAATTTAATTTAATAAATATTGCTTTAAATCAATTATAAAAATTACTTGATTAAATAATGCATAGTTTTTAATTAAAATAAATATTTATTTGCATCAATAAAATAATTTTTTTGAAATAACTAAACTTAGAAGGTTAGATTTTGAATGTTAGCCTGATTCTCTGAATAATTAGTAAGAAAAGGGCGAAGATACGTCCATTCTTTTCTTACTAATAGGATTTTCTGTAGGTAATGATCAGGGTGTTTTTTTGAAATTTTTACTGCATTATTCTTACGCATGTCACCGTCACCAATATTGTTACAATATATATTGTAACAATATTGTTACAACAAAGTCTAGACTTTGGGTTTTTGCAAGTCTAGACAATATAGTTGTATAATAATATAAATTTTTCTTTCTAAACCAGAATTTGAACATTTACAAAATTAAAACCTTATAGTGGTTAGAAAATGTAAAAAATTATTAATATTTATAAAAATATAAATTATTTTATTTAAAATCATTGTGTAATAAGACAAAAATTATGAAGTGACATTTACAAAAAATGTCATTGTACATTATACGAAATGTTATTTTTACGTATTCTCTTACTAAATCTTTCATTTTCGTCCGCTATCCTGGATTCGCCATTTTGTATTTTTAAAAAGTGACTTTGGATTCATAATCAGTGGAATTTTACTGAAAATTAGTTGAAAAGTACTAAAATATCAGTCATTCTTCACTGATTATTATTTTATTGTGATTTATTTATTAATATTGTAAATTTCTGTCAAACAAATAATTTTACTAAAAGTCAGTTGAAAATTACACTTACAGTAGTGTTTCATTCGAGCAACACGATCCGAGAAACGAACAAAAAACGATTTTCTTTTTGTTTTGATAACCAAGCTGTCATGTTCGCTCGTCTTATTGAAGTAAATTTTCATAAATGTTTATTTACATTATTCGAAGATAATTAAATCTTAAAAAATTACTATAAAAAAATTCTAATAATATTAGTTTTTAAAAATATTATAATGTTATTTTTCGAAAATAATTGAATTTCTTAAAATAATTCTTATATCCTAATTTACCTTTAAAAATTTTTTTTAAATTTTTGGTAATTCAATTATTTTCAAAATTTGCAATTAAAATTCTTCAAAAAATTGTAACAAAATACTTGAAATAAATTAATTATTTTCAATTAAATTTTGCACAATTTCAACTATTCAAAAAGGTTTCTATTGTAGACATATTTGAAAAATTTAATTGTGTTAAAAAATTATTCAAAGAAATCTAAGTATACTTATTTTTAATTATCTATAACTTAATCTATTGAATTTAGAAAAATTACATCAAGAGGACAAAACTTTGTTCTTTCGTCTACTTTTGAATAATGTTTAGAAAACTAAATTTTTATTAATGTTTATTAAAAAATTATTTTATACCTAAAAATGTTAAATTTTTTTAATTTAGGCATGATTACAATCACAGGCACACAAAAAAAAAGTTGTCTGTTCATTGAACAAGACCTACATGTCTTATAGTATTTTGGCCCCCTGAATACGAATATGAAGTCAGAATTGCTCCAGCACCCTCTGTTTTTTTTAAATCGAAAAAACTACCCTTAAGTCTAAAATTCAAGAATTAAAGTAAAAAAAAATAAAAACACGGCTTTCTTCGGAGTAGAAGAATATATTTGTGCGTTTTCTTCTTTCAACAACTCAAATAATGTCAAAATTGCTCCACCACCCCTGTTTTTTTAAATAGGAGAAACTACCCTTAAATCTAAAATTCAAGAACTAAAGTCAAAGAATGAAATAACCACTTTTTTGCGAAGTAGAAGAATATATTTATGCGTTTTCTTCCTTCAACCACTCAGAAATATTGTCAAAATTGCTCCACCACCCCTGTTTTTTTAAATGGGAGAAACTACCCTTACATCTAAAATTCAAGAACTAAAGTAAAAAAATATGAAATAACCAGTTTTTTTGCGAAGTCGAAAAATATATTTATGCGTTTTTTTCTTTCAACAATTTAGAAATAATGACGAAATTGCTCCATCACCCCCTGCCCTTAAATCTAAAATTCAAGAATTATAGTAAAAAATGATATAACAGGTTTTTTCCAAAGTAGAAGAATATATTTATGTACTTTTTAAAAAAGCATCAGCATTGCTTCATCACCCTCTTATTGATTTATATTGAAAAAACTACCCCTTTAAGTATGAACCTAGAGTATACTAACAACAATAAAAACAATTAGTTTTAGACAAAAGCATACGTTCCTTTATTTTTGTTCTCATAACTAAAAAGCAGAATCAGAGTTAATTTATCATTATTTGTTGTTGAAAGAAGAAAACGCATAAATATATTCTTCTACTCCGAAGAAAACCGGTTATTTCATTTTTTTTCACTTTAGTTCTTGAATTTTAGATTTAAGGGTACTTTC